CGGCCTGGCGGGGGCACGGCACGGCCCAGCCCGGCACGGCGGGGCGCTCGGTACCGGGGCACGGCACAGCGGCCCGCGGTGCGCACTTTGCCCGCTCCCGGCGCTGCCCCGCTCTCCCCCACCCTGGTGTCCCAGCCCTGTCCTTACCCCCTGTCCCAGCCCTGTCGCCCATCTCTTCTCCCAGGCCTGTCCCTCCCGCTCTGTCCCAGCCCTGATTCCCACCTGAAGTCCGCCCTCCCCCAGTGCGCTGGCAGGTGGGATACCCCGGGATAGCCGGGTAACAGGGCACATGGCAGATCCCATAACTCTTCACACTGTACAGTCACAGGGCCATGTGTCAGCCCTTGAGTGCAGGGGAGTTACTCGGATCCCTGGGTGTTCGGTGTGCCAGTCTTCCGTGCCYTGTAAAACACGTGTCCGGTGCTCAYAGGTGCTGGACACTTTTTCCSGCTGGACACTGTTTTTCGTGGCTGCCTGCAGGCCCCTGGGGTCTCGTCTGCCCTTTACACCACCTGCGAGGTTCTGTGTGCTGCCTTTTGTGGGGCTGTCACAGCCCTAGAGTGGCCTGTGGTATGATGCTGGTGACCAGATTCTGCCTCTTGCACGTTTTGGGGCGGTCACCCCAGTCAYTTGCTCTCTGGTCTAAGTACACCATGGGGCTCTGGGCCTTGCTTTTCAGGCAGCTCTGCCTGTTGAGTAGCTSCTTTGGGCTATTTTACCTTCATTTTCCCAGGCTGGGTCTTGCTTTGTTTCCTGCTTACGTTTCTTGGATCCTTTGAATGGTGTCTCTACTCTGGATGATGTTTGCAACAGCTTTTGCTCAGTATCGTCTGCAAATTTAATGACAATTCACTATTCAAGTAAAAGTTTGAGAAATGGCATAAAACAAGATCCTGAAGTTCAGCTAAGTTGGCTCTTGCTTGCCTTATCAAAAAGCTTTGCCCAGCAATTCTTCTGAAATAACTCGTCTGGGCAAGCCAGCATCCATCATCCATTGTGTTGGGTATGCAGGCCCCTTCAACTGCCAGTTTTGTTCTGCACTAGGGTTAGGAACAGGGTTTATCCTGTTTCCAGCTCTGGTGTTGCTGTCCTTTCTTGCGGAGAAAATCAGTGCCCTGTTTGCTGTACCCATCACCGAGGCCCTGGTTTCTTCTGTGCACTGTGTGTTAGCGGGTTAATAGGTTCATGTCCGCACTGGCCAGGCCAGCCAGGTGACTGTGTCTGTGTGGAGATGCTGTTTTTGCTTTTCCTGCAGCTGTTTTAGCAAGGCCTCTGCCTCATTTGCATTTTTCTGTTTAAAAACAGTGATTTTTCCCTTTTGAGTCATCTTTATTTTTGAGCCATCATTAATTTTCTCTCCCTCCTTGTTTATTAATAGACCTTTTCACTTTTGTGCTGATTCTGCCTGGGTATATTTGTAAAGTCCTTTGTATTCCCCTTAGCGTTCTGGCTGTTAACTCCTTTTGCTGGTTGGTTGTCCCTTTCCCTCTCCCCCTGCCCCCAGCTGTGAGGGGACACTATTCACTTACAAATCATCTTTTTGTCTGGAATGTTCCCCTTCTCTTCTTCCAGGTATCTCCTAAGAGCATCTATTCCAGGTGTCTCCTAAGAGTATTGCGAGTGAAAGGCACGATTGAAATCTCTCTCAGTGCCTTTGACGCTTTTGCCACCTCCTCGAATAGCCAGTGTTTGCTGTGGCTGCTGGAAAGTGTCTTTCTCCTGTCAGCAGGGGACAGGGACAGGGACAGTCTTGAAGCCTGTGGGGCTGCAGGCAGGACTTGGATGGGATACAGCTCTTTGCTCTTTGAATGCTTTGCTTTGCCTCGTACCAGTAGCTCTGTGTTCTTSTCTTTGCTCTGTCTGTCTTCCCCAGATATCCAGGTCCTTCCCTGGCCCCATCATCTGCTTTTGAGTCTGGTGGCCTGGGCTGGAGCTCTGCTGAGAGCAGGAGAGGTGCAGGRTAGCCAAAACCTCTGACAATTCTTGCCTGGGCTGCCAGGGGCTGGTGTTGTGCAGTTGGTAAGTGTGCCGTGGCACGTGCCTGGCATGGGATGAGTCCTGCGAGTGGCAGGTTCCCCAGTGGAGCTGTTTAGAATCTCCTTGTACCTGCCTTTTTATTAATCTTGTTATTATAGTTATTTTTTTCCCCTTCAAAGAGCCCAATCTGCTGCAGGCTGTAAAGAGTGACATTGTGGTGTGYGAGCTGCATGCCAAGGCTGCGTGAGGGTCCCCAAAGGCTCCTGGTCCCCCAGTATTGCCATCCCTGTTCACTGTYAAGGCTTTAAGGTTATCTGCTCTATCGATGGGAATATGGATTGAGTGGAATTAGAAACCTCGAAAGCTAAAAATACAGCTCTCTGCCAGGAAATGCGGCAGCCTGCTGAGAGGGTGCTGCGTGGCACTGAGACATCCCCAGGAACTGGCATGTTCCACATGAGTACCACAGCCCAGCATCTGTGCCTGTTCCCAGGTTCCCTGAGCAGGGCTGTGGCTGGCTTGCTCTTGTTTGTGGGGTCCTTTCCTGGAGAGGACAGGGTGAGAAATCAGGGAGAAAATGCTGCCCATGTRTGCTGCAGATGTTTGCTAGAGGAGAAGCACAGGCTGGCACATGGGCAGGCAGCTTGCTGAGGCCTCACAAACACATACCATGAGCTCAAGCTCCCCACGGGCAGCATGTTCTGGGAGCAGTGTGAGAGGAGCCTGTGCCTTCAGGGAGCTCTGGCTGCCTGCTGGCTGATGATCCTGGCTGTGCCAGGCTGTGCTGTGCTGGCCTGGTGGGCTTTACATGCCAGACAGCTGGGYAGTGCTCCCATCACCACTTTTACCRTGGTRCCATGGCCTTTGCCTGCTTGGTGCCCAAGTGCTCTGTTATTTTGCTAGGCAGCTTCATAAAACAGCACAGGATCTGGGGCAGCATAGACCTTTTTGGGGATGCACTACCCATCGCTGCCGCACTGTGGGGCAAGCATGGTCCCAGACTCTGGAAGGGGCAGGGTTGCCCTGCCTAGTGTAGTGTGAATGAGACCCAAAGCCAGGACCATTGCTCTGCCTCCTGGAGCATGAAATCAGTTGGTGCCGACCCGTGGCTGTGGCATCGATGGAGTGTGTAATAGGCTGGGGGCAGGAGCTGTGCTGCCCTGTGGGGRAAAAACAAAGTGCTGCGGCATCCCTGCCAGCCGGGTCATCTACCACCTTGCTGTGTTTCTTCCCAGGCTGCAGGAAGCAGCTCTTCCCCAGCAGTGTGTGGCGGGCAGAGGGAGGCAAAGCTGTGCAGGGAGAGGATGCTCCCAGCACCAGCCGTCTGGCTAATGCTGCACCATCTGCTTTGGAGGGTGAGGCAAGGTGAATGGCAAGCTTTCGAGGAGCCCATAAATCCTGTGTGCAAAGGCTCTTGGAGGTGACATGGGATGTGCTGGAGCAATGCTGCTCCTGGCTSTCCCTGTGCTGTCAGTTCTCAGGAAGCAGGGCCTGGGGAGATCTCTGACCCCYGCAGGACATTCAGTGATGAACCATGGGCTGAGACTCTGGGCTTGGCTGGGAGAAGTCCTTCATCAGAATTTGCTTCAGTGCAGTTGGAAGCTTGCTGTGGTTGGAAAYGGTGGTGCCGGGGGGGCTTCCAGTGCCCCCTCCCCTCTGGCACCCGGGCTGCCASTCGGTGAGAAAATGTATAATGCCTCAGTGTTGAAAAATGACTAATCCAGTCCTTGGAAGGTTTGTAGGATACATTCCTTTCTTGYGGTCGATAAAGATAAAGGGGATCGTTCTGCCAGCAAAATTAGTGTATCAAAGAGGGGGAAAAATATGACAAGAGCTGTGGAGACAGAAAAATGATTGGGGCAGCCCTGGGATGGTGCTCAGCATCACCACAGCGCCCGTGCCTGCACCTCATGTTCCTGCCCACCTTCGCAGCATGAGGTGCAGGCAGTCGCTGCAGTCATGCTGGGGGTACTGCCCTGCYGGGCTTTTCCAGTGGTTTCCAGAGAGCCGTGAGAGACTCATCCATCATACCAAGGAATCAGTCTGTCCATCCATCAGGAAGAGGGGATGATACTGCATGGCATGGGCAGCCCCAGCCACTTTCCAGCCAGTGGTTGGCCTCCCCTCGCCTTCCCGGCACCACTGCTGGCTGTTGGTGAGGGGCCACAGAGAGCGTTCGCGCCTCGGTCAGGGGCTGCGTGGAGGGGAGGCTAATGTACCGGAGGTGCCTCGGAAATGAGAGCCTTGGATGGGTTCCTGGCCCTATTGATCTGCCGGCAGTTTATGCATCCTGACATTCATAATCTCAGTCGGCGCTGATGGTCCAGATTAATGGGCCCAGGGGCTGTCCATCCGTCACTTCACATTAATTACTGAAGAGGTGTTTTTCCAGTGATTTACCTGACAGCGGCCTGTGATGAATCCCCCTAAACGGAGTGGGCAGTGATTAATCATGGGGCTCCAGCCCAGCCCCACTCTGCCTTCCCCTCAACCACAGTGCAGCCCCCTGCACCATCCGTCTCCATAAACCCTGTCTGATGCATATTTATAGGGGCAGGGGGCCTGGCCGCTTGCGGCGTGCCTGCTTCTGCCAAAGATGATGAAAAATAAATCTCCATCGGGACGGGGCAGCAGGTGAGCAGGGCTGCAGCAAGCCATGGTCCCGTGCCAGGGTATCCCTGGGCTGGGGTTTGCTTTCTGTTGTTCTGTGGCTGCCTCAGGCTTCTCTGTGGTTTTTGATGCTTGAGTGGTGCATGGTCTCAGCGTTCTGCTTCAGCTGCAGACACTGGTCCCTGGGGCTGGAGGGTCCCAGGTAGCAGCTGCTGGAGCAGGGCAGGTGCCTCAGTGATGCTGGTAGGATGCTCTGCTTCCCCCAAGCCAGATACACCCCACCACAGACTGTAAGGCTGTGGGGTGCTCCAGATGCCAAACCCTGTCTGGATTTGCTTCTGCAGGGCAGCGTTGGGCTCCACAATCCATCACTGTGTGCCAGCTGCTGAGGGAGCAAGGGTGGGACTCCGTCTCGGTGACCAGGGCAGGGGCTGCCCACTGTGCACTCAGCTGTGGGGCTGCTGGGCCACTGTTGGGTGGGACAGTGACAGTGACGCTGTTCTCTCCTTAGCAGGCAGCGGTGGCACCATGCAGCAGGAGGCAGAGGGCAGCCGGGTGCGCCGCAGGAAGCCCGACATGGCCCTCTACGTGCCCAAAGCGCGGCGGGAGAGAGAGGCACGAGCAGCGGCTGACGCACGGGTCGGGCACCGCCGGGAGCCGGAGAACCACCGCCAAGAGCCGGAGAACCACCGCCGGGAGCCGGGGAGCCACCACTGGGAACCCGAGAGGCACCGCCAGGAACCCGAGAGCCACCGCCGAGAGCCGGAGAACCACCGCCGGGAGCCAGAGAGCCACCGCCGAGAGCCGGAGAACCACCGCCGAGAGCCGGAGAACCACCGCCGGGAACCGGAGAACCACCGCCTGCTGCAGGACTGCGGCCGGGGCAGTGGCGAGGGGCAGAGGCAGAGCCCCCGTGCCAGGACGCAGGCAGGCAGAGTGGCAAGGAAGGAGAACAAGGTGGATGCTGGCCCAAAGGAGCTGCGGACAGCCKCTGCCAAGCGCAGCCATAGGACGGAAGGCAGCTGCCCCAATGCCCTGGAAAGCCTGGAGSCGTCACCCAGTGTGTGTGAGCCATGCCCAGATCCAGATATTGCTCAGCCCAGGGACAGGCAGGACAAAGCATCTCACGAAGGACCTGGAGAGCTCAGCCATGGTYGCGGGATGATAAGGACTGAGCCTGACCCTCCATCCCCACTGAGTGCCCAGGCTGGGGCTGTGAAGGCTACCCTTGAGCCTGGGGATGACCTCACTGGCCCAACACCTGCTGCTGGCCCAACACTGGTTTGCCAGACAAGTCTGAGTGGCATGTTGGAGGGCAGGGGRGACAGCACCCTAGATCCAGCTGGGGCCCTCTCCCAAAGCCTGGGAGAGGCTGTCCTGCAGTCAGCAGAGCGGGGCAACCATGGCAGGCTGCCCCAGCTGGTGGAGGAGACAGTGGGTCTGAAAGCCTGGGGGGAGGAGAAGGAGGAGGACAGGTCTCTCCTGGCAGAGCAGAGCGAGGATGGTGCTGCTGGGGTACTGGAGGGAGAGGAGGAGTGGGGAGGCCAGGCTGAGCTTCCAGGAGAGAGCACCTTGTGTACACCAGGAGGCAGCTGCGAAGCTGTGCTCTTGAGGGGTAGCATGGAYGATGTGCCAGCACTGCCAGCGGGGAGCACTCCACAGCCTGGCACAGGCAGCCCATCCCAGCTCCTACCTGTCGTGGAGGAGAGCACAGCTGGTGCCGGGGATCCTGGTGAGGATGGTGACCTGGTGCCTGCTGTAGAGGAAGCAGGCAGCACCTCTGCCTGCACAGATAGCAGAGCTGGGRCTGAGAGCAGCCCACGGGAAAGAGCAGCTCCAGAGAGCTGTGAGCCCCCGCCACCCCTAGAGCTGCTGTGCCGTGGCATGGAGGGGCTGTCAGCTGCGTCCTCAGCCAAGGAGCTGGCAAGGCCAGATGAGGATGTGGGCTTGCAGAAGCACCRGTGTGGCCAGGAGGCTGGGAAGGAAGAGAGAGATCTCCACAGCACCTCCCCAAAGGAAGGACAGACCAGTRCCAGTGCTGAAACCCTGAGCCAGGCCAGCCCGGGTGCCGAGGAGAGCTGGGATGTGCTGTTCAACGATGATGGGGACTGCCTGGACCCACGCCTGCTGGAGGAGGTATTTCCTGCAAGCCAATGTTTGTGGGGATTTGCAGGGATGGTGCCTGCTGGGATATGGGGGATGTCTGTTCCTGTGTTCTGTGGATTGAGTGCAGGGGGAGGGTGGGCTGCACCCAAGACATGGTCAGCCTGGCTGGCTGTGCTGCCTGCTGTTAGATCCAGCCTTCCCCTGTGGTGCCAAAACACCTGGGATCTCCACCATCCCATCCCGTCCTGTCCCATCCCGTCCCGTCCCATCCCATCCCATCCCATCCCCCGTTGCTGGTGAAGGTTGGGGTGATCATCCCTCTGTAGTATATAAAGTGCACCCAGTAAAACCTGCTGAAGTGCCGTAAACTGTGACTGSACCCTCGTGAAACCAGGCTGGCGATAAAGAAGTGGGCTGAGATGTATGGGCTCTGATTGAAACAGCTAGGGGATGTTTCCTTGAAACTATGGCTTTTTAATCAGCTGTGGCTTGTTGCCATTCCCTCCTGCTCACATGCCACTGAATTTACTACAGTTGGCTGCTTAGTGCCAGTACCCACACGGCTTTCCTGCCGCTCCTGAGGACAGCTCAGCCCCTGCAGCAAGGCTGGATATCCCTTATTGCATTTTAAATCAGTGGCGCCAAACTACCGGCAATTGGTAATTTTCCAAATGACATTAAKGTATCTGAAGTAACAAACAGTGTTAATATTGTTACATTCAGCATCTGTCTACCCCCGAATGGAAGCAGGGTGTGAAGTGGCAGGTGGTGCCTTGATAACAGAACCTGTGAAGGGATGAGGTTAACTCAAGAGCACCCTTCCTGAGGGGCATGAATCCCATCTTGTCATCAAGGCCTTGCTTGGGCTGATGTGTCCTCTGGGAGCCTGGCATGGTGCTGAGACAGTGGGTGGGACACACAGGGCTCGCATTTTTGGGGATATGGAAAGGCATTGGGTGGCACTGGCTTTCTGTGGGCTGATGCCATGGGCATGGCTTTGTCCTCAGGGGAGGGAGGTCCAGGAGGATCCTTGTGGTGGTGCAGCCACAGGATGCTGTGGGCAAGGGTGTGCTGTGCAGTCCAGRTTCTCACTCCAAGGAGTGTCTGTATTAGCTCCCCCATGCACAAGCTCTGAGAAAAGTTTGAGCTTTCCAGAGAGCTTCCCAAAATGGGTGAAAAAGAACCTGAAATAGGGATTTATTGATTAAAAGTTGCCATCTTTGTCACCTGCAGATTCACACGTGGAGCCTGGTGCTTCCTGAGCCCTCTGAGCTCTCAGCAGGTGTATGTAGCTGCTTGGGGAGGGTGCAGGCTCTCGGGAAGATGGAACTGTTGTTAATTAACAAAAAGAACAAGAAAATTAGTAACATCTCCCTCGTAACTGAATCCTTATGCAATGCAGATAGTTGGCAGAGAGCAAGATTTATGACGTTCTGYGTGGAGGAGAGATTTCTGATAGCGAACGGCTCTTTAATCTAGCAGAAAAAAAAACCACCACAGTGAGCATCATTGGCTGGCAGCTGAAACCAGACAAATTCAGAGTAGTAGTCAGTTTGAGCACAGAGTAATTAAGCACTGCGACCATTTCCTTGCAGGCTCRGTGGACTCTCCATCAGGCAGYGCGGCACAGCAGGRCCCGTGSTGCRCGYRTGCCTGGGGCTGTGGTGTGAGCGARCAGCCACACACCCCTCTGACCTGCTCTGGTCTTTAGAGAGCAGAGAGATGTGATGGACAGGCTTCATGTTCCCTGTCATCTGTCTGTCCACCCCTCGAACCCTCCCCAGGATGCTGGGGTCTGTGYCACTCCCTGCTCCCACGGCTGGGGAGCTGCCGGCACGCTGTGTGCTGGGGCTGGCAGTGCTGGGGACYTGTTGAGCCCTGCAGCCAGACGGCTCCTGTCCTTCCCGCCCCGCCACACTTGGTGATTTGTGAAGGTCAAGGACCGCTCCAGCACTCTGTGCTCCTGCTCTCTAATCATCTTCCCGGTGCCTGGCACTACCTGAGTGCTCTGCTCCCTCAAGCAGCACCACAGGGCTTTATCCTGCCTGGGAGGGGCTCCCTTGCCTCCCCCAAGAAGGTGTAGGGTGCCTGATGAGTGTGCTGCTCTKCACGGGGGGTGATGGCAGGGCAGGTGGCTCTGCTGGCAGTGCTGGCCTGTGCTGTGAGCTCCATAACTCAGCTCTACCCTCCACCGGCATCCAGCCGCCATGGCAGCACCCCCTCACCTGCCGTGAATCCATCTTCCCCATAAAATTGTYGGAATGAGCACTTTTTATCGACTGAGCTGGCTGGGATTTATGGACTCTAACCTTACAGCCATGGTGTGTTCTGCTATGATCGCTCAGGGGATCAGGGTGGGAACCCGCCTGAGTTATGTACCCATTACCTGGCATCGTGCCAGCCCCACACCCCAGGGGGAACAGGGGAGTTGTCAGCAGCTTTGGATTGCACCTGGCCTGGCATCTCAGGGATGAGATGGAGCAGGGCAGTGAATCCCCTTGGCCACTGRCATGGCGTGGTTTGGAAAGCAAGGGTTCAGCAAGGAACGCAGAGTGGCCTGCTGTGCAGAGTGTGGTGCTGGGTGACCAGCTGGCACCAGTGCTGTGGGACAGAGGGAAATRGGGGCTGGCTGCATTCCCATGTTGTGGCAGAGGAGGCTGCTGCCTGTGTTCTAAAATAAAGGTTGAAAAATGCAGAAGGTAGAAAAGCTCTACAGCCATCATCTTTTAGGGCTAGAGAAAGTGCCCYGGTGTGAGGTACTAAAGGTGCACAACCTTTTATCAAGAAGAAGGTTGAGAAGAGACTTGATTAACATTAGTAAGTGCTGTCACAGGGAGGGGACCAGGGACTGAGGGTTCTTTAATCCAGCAGAGAGGCAGAACAAGAACTACCAGCTGTAAAGTGAAGTCAGACAAATTCAAATGAGAAATAAATTTTTAGATGCACAGGTGATTAACCAGCAGAACTTGCTCCTCAGGGAAGCACCATCTTTTTCAACTTTGCATCTGGGGTGCTGATGGGCTGCTCCAGTGTATGTGCTGCAGCCGGGGCATGCTGAGCCTGGTGCTTCCAAGTGGCAGAGGGACATCAATCTTTCCTCCTGGCATCACTGTCCTGCTCCTTGTTCTTCCCCAAATGTATTTCAGGTCTTGTCATCACTGTGGAAGGAGGGGTGTGCTTGGAGGTGCATGTGCTGTTTCACCCCTGCCATTCCTGCCATGTCCCTGATGGGGCCGCAGAGTGGCAAGTGAAAGGATGCTGGTATTGGGAAAAGCAAGTGCATGGTGTGAGGACCCTGCTTGATAACTTCTAATTCTCAGTGCCATGAATCCATCTGCAGTGCTGGGGTGGGGTGCAGGGGCCCGGATGACTTTCTGGGGAGCACTTGCCATGGATTGGGAGCTGCTGTGGGGCAGGTGGGCGTGGGTTGCTCAGTGCTGTGCCTCTCCTGCTGCTGCAGCTCTTAGGGGGTGAGAAACACCAGGAGAGCCAGCAGTCACCCCGCTTCAACTACTATGGGGCCGAACCTGCTGCGCCAGACATCAGTGATGATGAGCTGCCCCACGTCATCGAGATCTACGATTTCCCCTCGGATTTCCGCACTGAGGACCTGATGCGTGTCTTCTGCAGCTATCAGTGAGTCTGCCAGCACTCTGTCCCCGGTGCTGGGGTTCCCTGCCTGGGCTCTGCTCCAGACGGCTGCCCATCAGGTGCCAATGCCTTGCTGAGCTTCCCTCTCTTTGGCAGGAAAAAAGGCTTTGATGTTAAGTGGGTGGATGATACGCACGCCCTGGGCATCTTCTCCAGCCCCATAACAGGTACTGCTCTCGGTTCAACTGGGGATGGGCAGAGAGGAGGCATCCCTCTCCTGCAGCCAGACCCCGGGCATGGGGCTGACCCTGCATGTGGACATGCTGCTCTCTTCCTGCAGCACGCGATGCCCTCAGCACCAAGCACCTGATGGTGAAGACGCGCCCACTGTCCCAGGGCACCCGTGCCTCTAAAGCCAAAGCCAGGGCTTACGCTGGTGAGTGGTGCTGTGCTGTGCCAGCTTGTGCCATCGTGCTTGTGCTGCAACATCATCCTGATAACTGGAGAGGGATGGGGCAGCCAGCAAGGCTCCACAGCTGGGCTGGCTGCCCTGTCCCTCCCAGAATGCCCCACTCATGTCCCCATCTTCACAGAGTATCTGCAGCCAGCCAAGGAACGCCCTGAAACATCGGCKGTCCTGGCCAGGAGGCTGGTGATCGGTGCCCTGGGGGTACGGAGCAACCAGACACCAGCYCAGCGAGATGCCGAGCGGAGGAAGCTGCAAGAAGCTCAAGGTGAGTTTTGGATGCCTGGAGGGGCTGCAGTATGGAGGGGACTTCCTYGTGCATGCTCCTGCTCCCAGGATGTTGGGTGGGAGGGAACTGTGCCAGGATGGACTCCTGCCTCCTCCACGGGGAGGTGGGGTGACTGGGATGTGACACTGACCCTCTTGTCTCTGCAGAGAGGAAGCGCCTGGAGAACAAGCAGCGGGAAGATGCCTGGGAAGGCCGGGATTGAGCCAGGAGGCTGCACTTTCAGCTCATGTCCCTCTCTGCAGGCAGGCAGAGCACTCTGCATCTCAGAGCTGGGACGGATTCCGCACTGCATCCAAAAGCACTGGGCTGCCTCACCGAAAGGGCTGAGCAGCATTCGAGCTCGTTGGTGCTGTGGGGATGCTGGTGCTGTCAGGCAGCACTGCCCACCCTGCCCAGGGCAGAACCCCCAAAGCTGCCAGCCATAGCAGGAGCCACAGCAGGCTGCAGGGAGCTCAGCAGAGAGCACGGGGGCCGTGTGGGACGGCCCTGGCCACCTGGCCGGGCCTTGCGAGTGAGAGTTTCTGTCCTTTATTTTGCTAATAAATGCCATTTATTTTATTTGCTTGCCTGGGTGGTGGCTTCCCATTCCCTTCATACCGGGGGAGGGTGTGCRTGCCGGGGGCAGCTGCCCGTGGTCCCCGCCGCCGCTGTGGGGATGTCCACCCCTCCCAGGTGCTGGGTGTCCCTGGCGGGTGTGGGGGATGTGCAGGCAGGATGGATCGGGCAGGACGGCAGGCAGGAATGTGCTGGCAGGGACCCTGTTTACTTCCGCGGAGCAGCTGCAGCCCCGAACAGCGGGGCCCTTGTCAGAGCATGGGCAGGGCCGCGTTCCTGGCCCCACACGGGGCTGTGATGTGGCCCCGCTGCCGGCCCGTGGTGGGCTGGGGGCTTCCTGCCCTGCCCCCGGGCGGAGGCTGGCGGCTGGGACCTGCCTTTGGCTCCTCTGCTTTGCATCATCTCGCAGCACCTGAAAAACAGCCCTGTGTGCCCCAGCACTCCCACCCTGTAGCTCTGCAGACTGAGGTTTTGGGGCCTTTCACAGGAGGTGAGCATGGGGATGATGCTTTTCTGCCACCGCTGCCAGCAGTTTGGATGTTTTTGGTCGCTGAAGAGCTCATGTGGCTGCCCCGTGTCCCCTGGCTGTCCCCCAGCTTGGCAGCAGTGGAGCTGGTCATGACCCCGCGGTGGTGGCTGCCTGCCCCTGCACCATCCGGCAGCGCTGCCAGCTGGGAGCCATCTCAGCTGCCGTTCCCGGATGCTCGTGGCTTGGCCGGTGGAAATTTCAGGGCGCAAAGCTGCTCTCATGTGGAAAACATCTTCCCCGCCATCCGGCATCCCTCAAACCCCGACCCTGGCCGAGTGAGCCTCCACCAGCACGTGCCTTGCCACGGTCTCTGGCCACGGGCCACTCCAGTGCAGCAACGCCGTTCCCAGCAGCAACTCCACGTGCGGGGACCATCACGTGTGGGTGCAGCCTGACGTGTTCTGGGCCAAGGTGGGTGCTGACAGCCCCCAACCCTGGACTGGCRCCTGCCAGCGAGGCAGGAATGCACAGAGGTGTGCAAGGAGAGGGGTGGCATTGCCCTGTGCCTGGCGAACTGGGGAACAGACAGTACAAGAGTGCGCTGGTGACATTCCCTTTTATTTCCTGTTGTAAGAAAAAAGATAGAAACCACGGGAGGTAAGAAACCGAGAGCAAGGGCATGGTGTACCCTGTGTCCCCACCCTATGTCCAGGAGCAAGGGCTTTGAGGGACAGTGTGGCCCTACCACTGCTCCCATTCTGGGAAGCTGCCAGGACAGCCTGGGAAAGCCCAGCGTGTCAGCWGCAGACACAGTGGCTGGTGGGCTGGCTGCCAGCCTGTGCTGCCATAGAGCTGGCTGGGTCCCTYTGCATGCACAGGGCTAGCCAGGGTGCCCTGGCCTGTGATGACCACCAATGGTAAGCCAGAGCTGCTTGATGCCAGCCACATGCACACAGCCTGGGAGCTGGTGTGGCACAGGGGGACACTGCCTGGCTGGGGACACACTGCCTAGACCAAAGGTGTTCCCAGCTGGGTACTGGCTTCATGATCCTAATGGAAAAAAGTGCAGGGGGAGGAGCAGGTGATGGTGGGATTAATAAGGGAGCACACCCTCTCCCGCAGCACAGTGCCCTGCTCCCATCTCACAGAACCTTTATTGAAGACAGACTGGTGCAGGGGTGGCCGGGGACTGTCCTGAGTCTGCTGGAGCATGGGGGGCTGGGCAGGCTGAGGTAGTTGTCCTGGGGGGCACTGGGGCCGTGGAGGTGAGGGCTGCCATGGTACTTGGGCCACTCTTGCAAGTCCAGCTGGCAGCAGGGGACTGGGCACCCCAGGCACACCCTGCCACCCCTGGCGCTCATCTCCATCCTCCGCAGCATGGCGCTCATCTCCATCCTCCGCAGCAGCATCAATAAATACAAAAGTCTGCAAGTCCCTGAGCTCAGTCCAGTGCTGCCAGGGCACAGGGGCGGGGGCGTGGGAGTCAGACTGTCCTGTGGAGTTGCTGGGACCATGCCAACACTGAGGGTTCACACGAGGTTGTTGGCCAGGCGCTCCCGTCTCTCCAGATCGTTCACCACATCGGCACCGTAGGCATCACCTGGGGAGAGCGATGTTGTGGGTGGGTGGTGTATGGGGCGCAAGAAACTTACGGCACCCCCAGCCCCATCACTTCCCCCACTCTGCCTGCCACACTCCCTGTGCTCCTGTCCCTCCTTACTTGTGTGGCAGCCGTGCATCCAGACACGCTGCCCATCGTACTTGCACTGGCACCGCATCACGTTGTTGGAGAAGTCCGACTCGGCCACCTCATGCTTGGGGTTCACGACCACCTGGGGGGAGCAAGGGGCAGGGCTAAGGGCACCTCTGCTATGACCTGGCCAGACAGGGCYGGGGCATGCATGGTGGGGTACAGAGCAGCACCCGATATGCAGGGTGAGGGATGCTGTGGTGCTTATAGAGGGGAGACCTCAGCCCTGAGATCCAGTAGCTTGCTGTCCTCTACCCCTCCATCCCCATACCTGGAAGATGTAGCTGCCTGGTGGCACATCRGTGATGTCGATCCACTGGCAGTCGATGTCATGGCGGTAGGTGTCCCAGCACCCCACGCTCACCCCCTGCTCCCCAAAGTTGGCACAGGCGAAGCGTCGCTGCAGCCCTGCAGGAAGGAGGAGAGGTGAGGGAGGCACAGGCAGGGTCCTTTTGGGGAGCAGAATGGGGGGCTGTTGTCAGCTCTGCAGCCAGCACCTACCTTCGGGGCAGTTGGTGTCCTCCAAGCAAAAGCTGGCCTTGTGCCCCTCGGCCACCTTGGAGCCRTTGAGCGTCAGCAGATCGTAGTGGGTGAAGACCTCGATGCTGTGGAAGTGCCTGTGGGGACAGGGGCTGAGCGTGGGACTGGTGCCCGGCCAGGGAGCACGTGGCTGGCCCAGGCTGTCCTGGCAGGGGCTCCCGGCAGGGCAGCACCCAGGGACTCGGCAAATTACAACCTTGAAGCCAAATAAAGCCATAATGACAGGGCTGGCTCAGACGTTAATTACCCCGGGTGGGACAGCCTCTTGAGGACGGGTGCACCATGCCTTGCCTGGCCCCAGGAGGGGGCAGCTCCCTGCCAGCCCCTGCCTATGGGCCACTCACCGGTGGCACTGGTGCCATGTCCAGGCGTGTCGCCCCATCCTGGGTCGGAAATCGGCTCTTCCCARGTTGTGGATCTGGGAGGAGAAGCGAAGGAGGCGGCGGTGGCCATAGGGCCACTGCATGCTGTCAGCAGAGCGGGAGAGGCAGCGCTCCTCGTGGGCRCAGTACAGCAGCCCCAGGGGCCGGTCCTCCAGGTAGGCTGTCTCCTGCACCAGCTGGGCGTTCATCACCAGGTCTGGGGTGTCTGGCATGGAGAGGATCGGCAGGGATTGAGAAGAAGGTCCCCAGGCTGCACAGTACCCCCTACTTTCCAGGAGAAGGGGGTTCCCCTCTCCCAGCAGTTYCCCATGGGCTCCTGATAAGGTCACCCACTGCTACTCACGGGCAGTGCAGGTGACCCCCGCTGAGAAGCGTCCCCCGCCGCTGGGGCAGTGCACGGGGCCGTGGCGCTGGCACTGCTGGAGGGCCAGCTCGGTGCCGGCACAGCGCACCCCGCTCATCACAACCCGCGTGGCGTCGGGGCTGCCCGCCCAGTACCACGTCTCCTGAACAGAGGAGGAGCACAGTGCTTGGAGCAGTCCTTGCACCCCCTGGCAGCACCCACCTCTCCTGCCCTAACACTGCCACCAGGATTTGTCCCCTCGCTGTCCCATCCCCTCGCCCCTGACCATGCCATGCCCACGCTATCCATCCTGCAGGATCCCTGCAGTCCTGTTCCCAGGCCRGTACCCCGCTCACCTGGAGGGCATGGCTGGCAAAGCCCAGCCCCAGCTGCCTGCAGACCACCATGGCCTCGTTCAGGCCCCACTGTGCGCCACACACCGCACCCCACTGCAGCCGCCCCTGCACCGGCACCAGCACCTCCACCACRCCTTCCTCGGGGTTGCGGCCCCCGGCCAGCCGCACCTGTTGGCAAAGAGAGGCTGAATGCCAGAGAGCTGGAATGTAGTGCAGATCCCAGCTCTCCCACCCAGCCCTGGAATAGGACACATCCAGATGAACATCTCCCTCAGCTTCCCCTTCTCCTTTCCTCCCTACAAGACCACATTTGCCACTAGATCATCCTGCAGAACCCCATCAGGGTGCTTCTCTGTGTCTGCCCATCCTCGGGGTCACCCCAGGGMTGCTCTGACCATCCACACTGGGCACAGAGCTTGGGGAGCAGAGACTGTGCAATGGGGCTGGGGTTCAGCAGGCTCTGGGGAGGAGGCAGGGGCTCACCTGGCTCTTGAAGTCCRTGTGGGGCATGTGGCAGCGGACGGCAGCATCAGCCTCGTGCTGACACCCGCTCTGCGCAGCATCCTGGAAGCGGCACTCACCCAGGGAGCGCTCATGGCCAGTGCACCGTACATTGCTCATGTGGATGGGCCCCAGACCTWACACACAGGAAGGATCAGTGGTCTCGGCTCTGTGACCATCCTGGAATAGAACCCTCATCCCCCTTCCCCTGATCTGGGCATTCCCTTTTGGAGTGGGGCTGCCCATGGCAGAAGCAGACAGGGGAGAATCATCCCAGGGCAGGCTGGAGCTGCCTGAACATCCCAGGATTCTCYAGCAGGACACATTAAGCCAGCTGCTTTTCCCACCCTACCCCCGCAAGCCCAGAGGTTTCCCAAGCCCATGCTGTAACAGCTGCCTCACCTTGTCCCATCCGGGCTCCCAACAGGGCCTGCTTTGCCGTCCCGTAGCCCAGCTGCCGGCACACCACGCTGGCTGCAGSCAGGTCCCACTGCTTGTCACACACGGTGCCCCACTGCCCGTGGCGCAGCACCTCCACCCGGCCCTCGCCAGGATGGGTGCCCGCTCGCAGCCGCACTGGGAGCACCTGGGCACGGAGAGCAGCCAGTCAGCACCCCCAGGACACAGCCACCCCGTGCACAAGCGCAGATGGGGTGGCTGG